TATATATATATATATATATATATATATATATATGAGAGCTACATAATTTGTGAGATCCATCAGATTCATTCTAAAACACTAATTTATGATAATAAATGTCATAAATTAATGAGATAATAAAGAAGATAATTATCGTTATTTTTTAAATAAAAATTAATGCATTTTTAAAAATTATATATAACTTTTTCTTTCTCATCTCCTCTCTTTTAACATACAAAGATGCATAATTAAATGTGTACATAACATGAACACATGGTAACATCATATAAATAAGCTTAAGCAATTTTTTTCCTACTATATTCATAATGTATTTATAAGGTTCATAAGTAATAAATTTAGATTTATTTTTATTTATGTAGTTGGTGTTCATAATAAGTTTACAAGTTATATCAGATCTAGATTTAGAGTGGGTTCATATTATGTTCACATACTATAATAATAATTTTAAAAAAATGTTCACAATGTGTTTACCTATTGTGTATATTTAGTTATGTGTGTGCATATATGTTACGGAAGAGAGGGTTTTTTTTAATTTTATATTGGATTTTATTTTTCAACTAATTTTCATAGCTTAAATTGAATCTTACGGATCTCACAAATTGCATGGATCTCAAAAGAAGTTGCATGTGTGTGTATATATATATACACACACACACTATGTTTTTGTCCCTATGCGGTTTGTTGAAAATAGCTATTTTTGTGCTTGGTCTTTTGAAGGTATAATTTTCGTCATTGTGGTTTGCAATTTATTGTTATTTTCATCGATCTGACAAACTCCAATAAACCAACTCTATTAGGTCATAGACAATATTTGGTCTTTTTACATTTTTTATTTGTTTAAATAAGTTTCAAAATACACATATTTTGAACGTATTTGCAACAAGTTAATCCGATCTAACCTGCCCCCTCGTACCCTCCCCTCCCTTCAATGCCCTCGTTCTTCTTTCTCCAGCAATAAAGTGAACCAAAACCCCAATGAAATCGTTCGTGTTAAACCGATTTTTTAATGAATCGTTAAGACGAAAAATGTAGTTTACTTTATCATTAATGGTACAAGTATAATAATAAGATGAAATGCATTATACATTTTTTTTTTCTTATTCAACCTGCGGAAGCTACTTCAAAAGCACCATTTTAATGTTTACGAAACATCTCAAACGAAAAAGTTTAATAAGTAAATAAATAATTTTCTTTTGGCTCATTTGTTTTCAAACAAGCTTTTAAAAGTTAGGAGTTGTTTGTTTTTTTTTAAAGGTGTTGAATTCTGAGGTATTATTTCACTTCTTATTAATATGAGGTGACTTTGAAGTTTTCAATAAGATCGTTTTTTACACTGATAGATGTTTGAATGTGCGTAATTGTGTAATTTATTCTTCAAAATAATATAATGTTGACCATCCTATCAAATTGAAAAAGATTATTTCATATAATACTAATTACTATTTTCATCCATTACTAAAACTAGAAGGGTATTCGTATAAGACAAAAAAATACATCTCGATTTTAATGTTCCGTTTTATTAGTCTTTGTCAATGTTATAACTTATAATACGGTTTTATACGGTTTTGAGAAAACGGTAATGTTTTTATGTAGAACTTATATAAACTTGAAGATCTATAAAAATTTTAAAAAAATATATCGATATTAGTATTAAATTAACTATTTAATTTTTTTTTTTTGTGTAATTTATTTACTTCTATTTTTTTATTATTATAACTTAATTTAGATATAATAACGAAATAATTAATTTTCAGTTTAACAACACAATTTTTTTATAACGATAATAATTAAGTATTCTATTAGAATTCAGTGATTATTTTAATTATATTTTACATTTTTTATATTTAAAATGAAATGTTTATCATATATTTGATTATGTCTATCTACAGTTAATTACATGGATTAAAAAATGAAGCTTTAATAAGTTATACTTACACAAAGTTTACTTGTAATTTAAATTTTAAATAGTATGCATCAATAAGCAGTACTTGGTACATCAAATATGGTTTTTTAAAGTTTGTCGATTTTTAAGAATTTGTCTCAAATGCTTTATAATATAGTATAGATAAATTACCAAAAACCTCCAAAGACAGAACATTCCATTAAACAATTGATCAGTTCAACATTTTCACTAGATTATCACTACAAATTTTTCAGCATATGCAAAAACCAAACCACAACTCAAATAGTGATAATAAAAGGTGGCTAATTTTGATAAAAACATTTCTAACAAAAAAATATTTTAATTAACCTGAATATCCAACCCGCTATGCGAGCCGACTAATGACAGGACGACCACCTGCTTTTGCGAGTAGACCGGAGTCATTGCATTTGAACCTCCATGGCTACAAGAGAATTTTTATTCCTTATTGGATTTGAACCTGGAACCTTCAGGTACTTTTGACCTTTAACAAAAGACAATTAACACTTTCTGAATAGAGAGGGTTGATGAATCTCAAAAACAATTTGTAAGACGTAAAGAACAAAGATTCAAAGAAGAAAATTGAACGGATGGTTTTTTTTTCTTCATAATCGTGGGTGTCTGTGGCAACTTTCTCGCCTAATCCCATTGGGCCTTGAAGTGATGACTTATAAGTCAAGCAAACCTCCCAGACTCCAACCGGTGACCACCGGGAAACACACCCAATATCTTATCGGTTGAGCTGACCCTAACAAACTTGTGGAGCAACAATTAGTTGAAGACAAAAGAATTATGATGAGTGTGCAAGAAGTCAAGAATGAGCATCTGCATACAACAAGCATATAAGGTGGCTTTCTTCCCACCTCCAGACAAACCTCAATATTCTTTCTTTTATAATCATCAATCCAGATAAAAAAATACCCAAATCACCAACTTACTATTTATAGCATTAGTCCTTTGTGATTCATCTCTCAGCTTCTACTACTCTTTATCTTCTGTTCTCAAAGATATGTGAATCAAAGAATGAAGTTAAGGAAATGCATGGGCGCACCAAGAAGATTACTCAGAAGGGCAAGAGAGGTATATATCGAAAGAATGGTCATTCTTGATGAAAAAGTTGGTCCGATAATCAATATGAGCGGCTTCCCACCATCAGCTCCACCGCCACACAACTTTGGAGCAAATTATTGGACTATTAATCAGAGTCATTGTACTCATAAGCATCCAGTCCTACTTAGAACATCCTCCGAAAGGATTCCTACCATTACTGGTAAAGAATTTGACGTTGAGGAGGTCCAGCAATGTTATAGTTCATTGGGGTTGGGAAGGATGGGTACTATTCAGGAAGACAAGTGGTATGAGTTTGATGAAGAAATCAACATCAGAATTGATTTATATATCTCCAAAAGCAGAAGCCAAGCAATCGGCAGAAGAGGTGTTGGTGGATACTACTAGAAGTCGAGAACTTCTCAGAATCTCTGATCTAATGTGTTCACCAAAGAGGTGTTTCTATTGCTAATCACCCTATAGCAGGCATATAGGCATATGTATAAAGGCAATATCAGAGTTAAGATGGCATTTGAGAAGCATCAACATTTTAATTTTGTTATATACCATATACCAGTTTTGGTTTTAAATCACCAAATGTATTGATTGCTTCCTTTTTGTGTCCATTTTCTCTTGTTTCTCTCTGTGTTTTTCCTTCACTTCTAGTTTCATAAACCATAGGGACCCTATTTCAGTAATAATTCACCGGCACATGAGCATATATGACATGACCATTTTATACCAAACATTAGCCCGTAAAACATGGTTAACAATGCTCAAACAAGTGATATGGTTCAATTATGTTTGACGATAATACATATGATGATGGCAACTACCAAAACATGAGAGCATCAGCAGTACCTATAGATGGTTGGTGCAAGATAAGCGGTCAATCTCCACTTGCACAGCCCTTGCAACCACAATGCACACATTCTATAACCTTTTCCTCCCGTAGGTGCTTGGGGACTCGACAAACACATGTTGTCTGGAAGTTGTGATCACGTGGTTGAATGCATCTTAAACAGCAAAGTCGTTCATAGCCAGGCTGAAATTCAAAAGCAGATCATGAGAATGCTTTATATAACAATTGTTTTCAACACACGCACCTAGAGAGTTCATAACAAGGTCGAATTACAAAAAGTCCCAACTAACATCATTAGAGCATCTCCAACAGATTCTTCAAAATGGAGAAGTACAAAGTCAAAATCTCCAAAAAGATTTTCATCTCCAACAGATTCTCTATTTTGGATATTACACAATTAATTATATTATTAAAATATCCAATACAACTCATAAAATATTATTTCTCTCTCCTAAATATTTAATTTCTAGGGATCTCATTGGTAGAATGAATAAAAAATCATCTCATAAGTAATCATTTTTGGAGAAATCTGAGAATCTGTTGGAGATGCTCTTATTATTCATCATCTGTATCCCAAGCTGAAAGCAACCTTCTGGCCCAAGTAACCTCCAAACAACTAAGCCATGGAAGGAAGTTAATGGCAACCCATAACCAACGACTTAAAAGAGGATGAGATTTCACTCTATACCAATGTGAGGTGGAATGTTATAAAATCCCCCACATAAATTTTTGATGTGCTCATCATGCCTGGATGGAATACAGAACAAATGCAAGAATTCAACCCACTACACCTCAAGGCGCTAGCATACTTTTGTAACTCTATATAATCCCCAAACAACTAAAATCATGGTGGAAAGTTAGTGGTATTCCATAACCAATTCACACTGCTACAGATGTGGGCCGGATATTACATCATCTTTAATTGCCAATGAAAAAACAAACTCTTTGCAAATAAAACTTTATAAAAAGATCAATAGAAAAAAGGGGGTATCGCCACCCTCTAAAGTGCCCCCACCGCACTGGTCCAACAGCCATCATGGTAAAGGTAAATTGCGTGTGCATCCCAAACGGCAGAGGGTGGTGTCTGGGCTCGAACCCGAGACCTCACACATCAGGATTACACCCACACCTCTATCGCTAGGACAGATTATGACTTTAGTTTCACAGCTAAGCAAGTTAAAAGAAGGGTTGAACTACAAAATCCCCATCCAGAACTTCTCTGATGTGGTTTATGCAAAAGGGAAAAAAATGAAAGCAAACAATCAAGCAATTAAAGATGATTGTCTATTGTCACTTGCCATGAATTTTACCTGAACGCACAAATTCTGCTCCCACTGTCCAATACTAGTTGTAAAGCATTCCCATCCAAGAATATTAAGGCTATATTTGGCAAACTAGCTGATATCCAAGAATATTATGGCTATGAATTGGCAAGCTAGCCGGTAGCTGCTAAGCTAGCCGGTAGCTGCTAAGCTAGCTGATGAACAAATCATGTTTGACAAAACTAGCTGAGGAGAATGTAAAATGACCAAAAAGGATATCTTGAAAAATTAATCAGTTATAATATTTCAGAATATAATTGAAACAAATCTCTAATAATATAATATATTGTCTAATACAAACAAGATGGTAAAAAATTAAAAAATATAATATATTGATTAAAAGAATTTCAAATTCATTATTCTAATTATCAATATTTGAATTTGATAAAACAAATTTTAGAAAAAAAATCTATTATTTGTGATTTTAAATAACAATTGCATATAATATTAATAAAAATAAAAATGGTCTACCTCACATATCCTAATTAATAAATTAATATTTTTTCAAAAAATATATTTAATAATTAAATTAAATATTTTATTCTAAATTATTTAACACATTTTATTCTGGAAGAAACAAAATAAGTATAATTTTAATTTTTATGTTACATAACCATTATTAAAATTGTTATATTTGCGTTTTGACAACTAAATATATTTAATAATAATTAAAAAAATAATAATATGAAAATAATTGATATGATTAATGATTATTATCAATAATTAATAAATAATATTAATGTATAATGTATAATTTTAACTAATTTTCAATTTATATTAATTAATAATTGATATTTACTAATATTAGTAATATTCAAATTTTATTGATATTTATATATAATTAATATTAATGAGTGTTATAATTGGAAAAAGTGACAATAAGCTACCAGTTTCAATAAGCTAGCATATGTGCTTCCAACATGTACCCAGAAAATAAGCTAGCTTATTTTTGCCAAACAATACCCAAGTAATTATGACACATTGCTTTTTAAAACACCAATCTGTTTTCCTTTTGGAAATATAAATCAATGATTACAATTATTTGATCAACCCATCCTCATCATTTCACACTTCCTTCTGGTTTATCAATGCTAATGAGAAGGCTAAGGTAGTCAAATCCAGTATGCTCAAACAGTTGTCAAAGTAGTTAAATCATTTCAAACAGTATGCTCAAGCTATTTACAGTAAAATTGGACGAGGTGGCTCACCTTCTTCCACTTGGCAATGATATTACGGTCAGCATATCCTTGATCCAAGCAAAACTCATACAATTCCTTTGAAATTTCTCTCCTACGATGGTAAAGGTCAAAGATGTAGCGACTCTTCTGGTGTGCAATTTTGAAAATAGGCCACAGGGTCTCACATTTTCTCTTCCCATCATGTGGATCATTCTCAGCTATGTCCCGTTAGTACAACAATCAAAATAACAATCAGCAAAATAGAAAATAAAAAGACGGAATTAAAAGAGGAGCTTTAAGATTACAGAAGCAGCCAAACCTTCCCTCATCTTTCCCTGTAATTCACGAAGAGTTGGTTCTATGAGTTCCCATCCTTCTGGGTATTTAACACGATTTGTCTTCACCTTAGGCATTCTTCCGACTGCAATGACTAAGCCAAGTAAGATAAATGAAAGAAAATTTATAAGACCTAAATAAAGCAACAGAGGTGACCACCTAATGTAGGCTACTTGAAAACTACCGTGTGATCTCACTTTACAAAAATAAAAAATATTGATCAATATATGAATGCATAAATGTGGAGAAGTGCATACTTGTTTCATGGAGTGATCTTATATCAATGAATAGGAAGAAGAAAAAAACGGAATGCTAATTAAAAGAATTTAGAGAACTATCTGAAAAAAAATAACAAGCATCCCAAACAGCTCATCAGATAGCTGAGGAAAGCAGTGAATATACTTCCACTATCAGAGTAGGAATGCTTTTATGATATCAGTGCTAAGCTAACTAACCACTACAAACATGGAGGCAAATCACAATTATCTTCCTTAAACTTGCTAAATACTGGAAAAGACATTCAAATATCATATGCCTGAATCAACTAGAATGACAAACTCCTCAAATAGGTGCGGATATATGCTTTTCTAGAGATAAGATGAACATAGTTCTTTCCCTATTTCCTGTGGGATAATCCTAATTGAGATCTTCACTTCTTCCCAGCTTCCATGATGTTTAAGTTAGTCTTCAATGAACTATCATACAACTTACATTTGACTTTTGCATAGAGAGAAGTTAATGTTATTCCGGATAGAGAATGGGATGGTAATTGGTAAGGCATACAAACATAATGCATGAAAGACAGGTAATGAGCATGCAGAATAATTAGGGAGCCTAGTACAAAAAATAGCCAATATGGTAACAGGTCCAACTGGGCAACTACTTTGCTCATGTCAAGAACACTATGGAGGGTCTTAGGCGTATAACTCATATTCATAAAGAAAATGAAGCTATTACAGTATCACAAGCCATCAATGAAAAAATAACCTTACTCCCTCCATCCCAAAGTGAAGTCCATATGTGACTTCAAAGTTTTAACCAGCAAAGGTGGCCCTTTTATTGCTAAGACTGATATAACTGATTTGGATCAAGCAAAGTGATGAATGACTCAATTGAACCATCATATCCTAGTTAAAAAAAAAAAAAAAAATTGAAGTTACAAAACTAAATTGTTGTTTGTTTATGGCTAAAATGTGCTTAACTGTCCAAGCGACTTAGGGCCTGTTTGGAAAGAGCTTAATGGGCTGAATGAGGCTTATAGCTTATTCAGTAAGCCACCATCTCCGTTCCTCCGACACCACAATGAAGGAGACACCAGCACCACCACCAACATAGGTTCAACAAAACCATCTCATCTCTTCTTACCCTTTCTGCTCGCTGGTAAAACTCACTCTCTGGGATGCGAAAATCTTCAAATCTTCCTTGGATTCATTTTTATATGGTTGACATGTTCAAATATATGATGGAGTGAAGAATGCACATAAGGTGTTTGATAAAATGAGTGAGAAAATGAGTTATAAAAATGCACCCAAGGTTTTTGCTGGGATTTAATAAATTGATGAATACAAGTGAATTCGATGGGTTCACTTATAATGATTTATTGTTGGGGTTTAATAGATTGGTTCACTTATAATTGATTTTGAACTTATAATCATTTTATTGATATCCCTTGACCATGGTGTTGATATAAGTATAGATGATAGAAAGGGGCCGCCTGGTGATGTTATGTCTCAGGAAAGATTGCTGCAATGTGGGGGATTAGCTTCTGTTGAAAAGCTTGTAAACTAATGTTGACACGGATGGTGCAGGCCTACTGGGCGTGTACTAGCAACCTAGCAGGAGACATGAAATTGACTTTATATGGGGATGGTTTGGATCAAAGTGTGATGGTTAATGTAAGCATTTATAAATGTATCTAAAATGTGATAATACCATGGAATTTGCATTTTTTTTGGTTAAATCATGTTGTAAAATTGATGTTCTTGTTTATCATTCAGAATTTGCAATCAGCACATTTATTTTGATCAGTGTGAGGGTAAAATAGTCATTTTTCTGTCATTTAGACCATTTATTGAGCACAACAAATGAACAACTATTTAGCCTAATCTATTCAGATAACTTAATTCATATAGACAGCTTAATCCATACATGCCTTAATAAAAAAACAACCAAACAGCTCCTTATTCGCTTAGCCATATAAGCCACTAGGACTCCAATTTCCCATTCAGCCCAGACTTTGTTCAATTATACCCTTTGATCAAGAGACATACACATCCAATATCAAAACATAACGTTCAACAAACAACAATTGATCATTTACCGCTTTCTCTAACCGGAAACCTGTATCAGGACAGGCCTTAATGGAGAAAAAGAAGCATACCCTAAAGCATCAAGTGGAACTTTCTAAAACAAAGGTGCGCTCCATTAGAAGGGGGTGATGGTATTTATAAACAGGAAAGCCTGAAGTCATGTTTCTAGAGTATTAGGGCACTGACACTCAATGAAGCTAAGTGACTCTTGTGGGCCAAGAATTGCAAACCCAGGATCGAATTACTCAAGCATGGTGTTGAGATGAAACGAGAATCGCAGCTGTAGTGACATTTCAAAAAAAAGATCTATGAAATTTCCATCATAATTCATGATATAAATTAAATGACATTCCTGAATCCTCTAATCCTAACCATAATTTACAATTTTACTTTAGACTCACCATGAAACACAGTGTCACAACGTCAAATTCTTAACCTATGATTACGAATCTAGTGAACTAGGGCTCGAAAATAAGGTCTTAAGAAATCAAATACAGAGATTCAGAATTCATCTGTTAAACTAACCCCTAAAAGCGAAAAACAAAATAAAATAAAATTTGGAAAATTAATTTCACGATTTCAATGTTCGAAGCAAGGAAAAATTAACAAGTTCTAGATGATTGAGATCGAGAGTTTACGATAGGGAGTGAGAAAGAGATCAAGAATCACCTGCTAATGGAAGAGTTGCAAAGTCGGTCAGCGGCGGAGTAGAAACTGTTTCTGGTGAAGGTGGCGCCGGAGATAGAGTCGTGATGATTCCTCCAAAGCTGAACGACAAGGATTCTGTGCAGGGATGAAAGGGTTTATTCTGAACGACAAGGATTCACTGAGTTACAGAACCAGTCCCTCAACTATTCACTAATATTCAATTTTTTGCCTTAAAATAAATGTGTTACATCTTTAGTCCTTACATATAACCCAACACTTATTGGTAAGTGTTTACCGAGTAAGAGTTAAAAATTGTTTGTTTTTAAAAAAAACACCTCTTAATATCCTCTTAAGTCTGATCCATTTAGATGTTTGCCTTTTCAAATTGTTTGATTTTTTTTTCAAAATAAAAGCTGAAAAGCTCTGACTTTCATCTGAAACTATAACCAATAACCTAACCCTTATTAGGGGCCGTTTACCAATTTTTTTGGTTAAGTGCTGATTCGGGTAAGAGGTCTGACTGTGGTAAAAGGTCAGATTAGAGTAAGTACAGATTGTATTTTCTTGTTTACCAAACACTTTGTATTAAGTGTCGATTGAGTAAAAAAGACCATTATATCCCTCTTTTTGGAATAAGGGGCTGTTTGTTTACGTCTGAATGATACCATTAAGACTTTAAGATCTGATTCGGTCAGACATTTTCTTGTTTGGATRGGTTTTTAAAAAGGTCTGAATGAAAACTTTACATCTGATTCGCTCCTTCACCCTCTAGCCCTCCATACGATTCAGATGTCATATTTTTCCAGGTTTACCCTCCCTTTTTTCTCTAATCGTCGTTCTATTCTTCTTCATCAGTCCATATGACGCTTGTTCTTCTTCATCTGTAGGAATCGCCAGCAACCCTCGTCGTTCTCTTCTTCTTCATCAGTCACCAGTCTCGCTTGGTCACAAACAGCCCCTATAGCTGTGTTTGGCCCTGTTTTTCAACAGATTTTTGGCCACTGTGTTTGGCCCTGTTTTTTACATTCAAATAGTAGCCAAAGCAAAGGGTTTATACATGATCGTTGAAAACAAAAGGGAGAAGAAATAGATTCAACAAAAGGGAGAAGAAAAAGAAAACCTCATGAGTTCTAAATAGAAAAAGCATTTTAACAAACCTGCAGATGCTTCTTCTAGGTTGATGGAGAAACCACTTTTGAGATGACAATTTGGAGTTAAAACAATCCATGGTTTTATGTATTCCCTCCCACGGTTTTGGTACAATTTAAGTAATATTATAATATTGATGACATTGGAGGTGGGGTGCTTGGAATGAACTTCACATTTACCAAAAACAAGAGGTTGGGTATTAAAATTATATGGTGGATAAAGAATGTGTATTTATTTTTTTGTTGGGTATAAGAATTATATGGTGGACCATTAATTATTTTTTATTTTTTATTTAGAAATTTCTTTCAGAATTGTTGTTAAACGTTAATTTTTATTAAACATAAGACTGAGGGTAAAATGGTAATTTTATGTCATTCAGACAGTTGATTCAGAACAGTTTCCAAACAACCTTTTTCTATCTGACACTAAATCATACAGAGTCTCTTAATCATTCTGACCACTTAATCATACTGCACTAAACCATTCAGCAACTGCCAAACAGCCCCTAAGTATTAATTGAAAATTATTGTATTATTTAAGCCCAATTATATTTGGATAAGATTAAAAAAACACAAGCCCATATCAACCCAAATACATTTAAGCCCAACTATATTTGATCTATATCTATCTCCACTCAAAAACCTATTTCTCTTTACCCAAAACCCTAGTTCCCTTATTCTCTCTGCCACCTCTAGATCGGCCGTCGTCGCCGCCCTCCCGTCACCCTCCAACACCTTGAACCGGACATGGCCACCGATGGTGTCGGCGTTCATCTTCCCCACCTATTTCTCTTTGGCCAAAACCCTAGTTCCCCTAATACTCTATGCCATCCCCAATCGTCCGCCGCTCGCCCTCCCATCACCGTCCAACCCCTTGAATCGGACATGGTCACCGATGGTGTCGGCGTTCCTCTTCCCCACATATTTCTCTTTGTCCAAAACCACTGATTCTCTCTGCCACCCTCGACCGGCCGCCGCTCGCCCTCCCGTCACCGTCCAACACCTTTTGAATCGGACATGACCCACCTGTTTGTATGAAGAAAGACGCATCAATTTAGGGTTTTAGATGAAGAGGGTAGATAAGGAATACATCCCTCTTACCATGGTAAGATTCATATTTTTTTGTTTGCCGACTCCGGTAAGAGGACGGTCAGAGATAGGAAATCTAATTGTTGATTTTGCTGTTAGGTAAACACTTTTACCTCTTACCCGGGTAAGAGGTGGTAAGAGATTAGTAAACAGGGCCTTAGTCTCTTATTTATATAAACAATCTCGTCTTTAGATCTCGCCTCTCAAGCCTATCAATCTCAAGCTTGTAGGTCTCTCAAGCCCTATAAGTCTCCAGGTTTCTAAACCCAAATCAATCTCTACCTGTAGGTCTCCAGGTTTCTAAACCCAAATCAATCTCTACCTGTAGGTCTCCAGGTTTCTANCAAATCAATCTCTACCTGTAGGTCTCCAGGTTTCTAAACCCAAATCAATCTCTACCTGTAGGTCTCCAGGTTTCTAAACCCAAATCAATCTCTACTTGTCGATCTCTCAAGGTATGTCGATTCCAAACTGGGTTTGTCGTCATACATATATGGTACATTCGGTAAAGTTGCTTGTCTTTGTGCTTGATTTTTGAAAAATTAGACTGTATAAAAATCTTCTATTTCCCATTTGAAAACAAAGAGTATATAAAATCTTCAACATAAAGTATAAGAACCTACAGCAGCTCCCATCAGAAAGTAGATCACATATGCTTAGTAGCTCATCAAATCTTGTATGGAGCACTTCTCCGACTCCGAGCCATATTCTTGTTTGAAATAGCTTATGTTACACTTTGTATTATATACCCAGAAGCTAGAAAGTACATGACACTAGTTCACATGAACATTTTTCGTTACTAAATTATGTACTTATATCTTGTGCATCTTCTGCCTCTTTTCCTAGTTTCCAACTTGTATAACTCTTGTAAACCTTAAAGAATGTATTTTGAACAATAGTTTTGAGTTTTTTTGTCAGTCGTTTATTGCCTTGTTCATATTAAATTAGGTTATTCCATATATGCAGCTTAATGACCCCACATAACCATTTGTCACTCAATATGACATCTATAGTATATGCATCACGTTTGGCCTGTTAATCCGAGTGACCCTAAATGGGGGAAATTAAACTCAAATGATATGTATAACTATCCTAGACCTTATCAACATACGATCAATTGGATTTCAGTTGGAAACCTAAGAATCTAATAACAAAAAAGGATGATTTGAGAGGAAAGTGAGGTGTTGAGAAATTCTTCACTTTGTCTTTCATGGCTTATGCTAGTTTCCCAATTCTCATGAACTTGTTTGTTAAGTCTATTCCAAAGGGGGCTTCTTCTTTAGGTCAAGAAGAATGATGCTTTCAGTTTTATAACTTCATTACAAACTATAACTACATGGTTTGCTTATCCTTTTGTAAGCATCTCTAACTTTGAATGTCTTTTTCCTTCTTTGATAAAACTGAAAAAGAAACATTTATAATAGAGTAGATTCATTTCAACTAGGAAAGTTTAGTTCCAAAGCCACATGGCATCGCATCGTAATGTTAGATATTAATTTGGAGATTTTCATTGTCGACGAGCAATGAACTAGTATGAAAAGTTGAATCATTCTCATGCAAAACTTAGAAATGTTATTGAACGTGTGTTATGGTGTCCTGAAAAGCACTTTTTCCAATATTTAAAAGAATTGCACCATTTTCACTTTGAGGTTTAAAGTGATGTTGTTATTGCATGTTTTGTGGTTCGCAACTTCATACAAATGGTAGGTTTAAGTGATGAGTTATTTTCTGAATATGATCAAACCAATAAGCAAGGAGATAATGGCAAGGATGAGGCTGAAGAGGTTCAATCGCATGGAGTAGCGCTGACCAAACATATATAATGAAGAAATTGTGGCGCAATTAATGCAAAATAGAGATTGATTTTTAGTTGTTATGACACTTTGTTCATGTTTTCTATTGTGTTTGAATGAATTGATGTATTTTAGTTAAACTTTTGAACGTGTTAAAAATAGATGGTAGTATGTTGTTAAATGTGTTAAAAATGGATGGTAATGTAATTTAATAAAATGAATTGATGGTTTTATAAACTCAACAATATAACTTTTATAAGGATAAAATAGACAATTATACATATTCAAACGTTTGGTAGTGTACAAAAACAATCTGTCTAATTGATTCAAATTTCAGACTTCAGCACCACCTCTTATCAACCAGAAGTGAAATAAGACTTTAAATTTCAGCACATCTTAAAAAAATAAAAGTAACCTTACTATTATAACTTATCTTAACAGATAAGATTGTTGGTAAATACTATAATTTCTGACAAAATCGGTAAGCAATGATTCGGTAAAAGTCATCATCCTTACTTACCAAGTACGATTCATAGCCAACAAAATGGTACCATAGAATTGTTGATAAAGATTATCATTTCTTTACTGAGTAAACGTCTCTTACCTGGTAAGAGACAGTAAATAATTTACTTAGCAGCGTGGGCCGATAAACATTTAGTAAACATTTCCGAAATTACAATTTTTTATAATAGGTTTGAGTTGGATTTACCGGATTGATAGTGTTTAGTAACTCAATCTAACTAATTTGGCTTAGAAGGATTTCAAACCATTTAAAACCTTTTTAATATATAACCAATCGAACGTTTATCGGATTAGGTTAGGTTGGGATAGGTAGGTCGAGCTGAATAATTTTATAAAAAAATATCAAACCAAAATTAAATATAAAAAATTGTATTAGATGTTAGTATTTACTATTTAGCCAATGAAAATATTGCAATAATCTAAAATACTAACATGTAAAAAATAATACAAAATAAAAGGTTTGAAGTGAATTTATTAATCAATAATAACGATTTTGACACTCTTCGACTTCAGTGACGTTTTCATATTGGGTTTGTTTATGAAAAGCGGTACCAAATTTTTACACAAACGCAAATACAAG